ACAACGTTTGGGGTGACAAACAATACGGATTTGGATCAATTCTGTCTATTGCGGATATCTTAAGAGTCATTACTTACAGAATCAGTAAAATACTAGACAATCCACTGTGCCACGTTTCCTCAAGGACACGTGGCATAGTGTTTGGACGTAACCTCAACCCAGATCTCAAGTGGAACGCGTACATACGAACCATCGCTAAAGATGCTGGGAAAATGGTCCGTTCTCCCTACCTCTCAAGTAAATACACCTCCTGCTATCATCTACGTATAAAATAGCCAAATCATGCCGAAAATGGCGCAATGGTGCCATATAAGGAAAGAAGCTGCCAGGTCTTCACTTTCCAGTCTCGATAGATTTCAAAAGCATATCTGCGGCCTTTTGGGTGATGAATTATTTCCACCTTACTACCGCTTTACCAGAGACAAAACATTGCCAAAGGCTTGCTGTTCTATCCCTATTTGTATCGGAAGTTTTCAGGCGAATTTCATTCATTAGTTACACAATTGTCAAAACTCACGGTGAAGACCTGCCATGACAAGCACATTTAGCGAACTAACTTTATTCCTTTCATAAACCATTGGTGAGATGAAAATCCCATTAGAACAGCTCCTTTCCTTTATGGAATTGACTCCCAAGATGATACTTATCCAATTACTACATTCTTTACCTGTTAAAATCTAGGGATAGTATCTATTTCTCTCTCTCTCTCTCTCTCTCTCTCTCTCTCTCACACACACTCTCTCTCATAAGGTTGATTTATACGTTGACTGCCACTTATAAAATCTGACTTCCGTCGCCATCTATTTCGGCAGTTGAATATATCTGTTGATTTTCATATTCAGGATTTATGTGATATATTTTCAATAATTTTCCCAGGAAAAAAAGTTTATTTTCAATTCGCAGTAAAAGTTTTTCTTCCTGCTTTAGACGCCTCTAGCTAACTTGTGTTTTGCGTCATAATAAGCAATACCAACCATCACTTATCTCAATGTATTAATTAAACGCTTATATTGTTATTCTAATATTTGAAATTCGCAAAATGATTTATTGAATTTTAAAGTCCTAAAAGTATCACTATTAATTGGCTGTCATAATAGGCTGCATAACATGTTTCACCGTCTATATGTATTGGAATCATATGTATTGAAACTTGCTCTGCTTATCTTTTAAACTTCGCTGGCTTAAATATTTTCTTCTTTGATATACATTTATGTTAAGCAGTGGGCTATGAATTAACACACTTCAGCTGTTCCAGAGTACAATAGACCATACGCGAAACACATTCAGTTCAACCATCCACTCAATTGAGTTTGGCCTGAAGTCTCGTATATTTATTCCGATTCAGTGTTTGCAGACATTTTAGGAGAAAGCCATGCCCCTATTCATATTCTTCTTTCTATTATGCAAATATCGTTGTCGTCAGGTTACGTGTGTAGAGTCCCAATCAATCGATTTGTGTTTACTGACAAATTAACGGCAACCAACAGGCTTTCTACTGACCTCCGCTTCTCTTTGTGCAGAGAGTAAATCTTTGTCCTGGTGAAATTGGCTCGGAGCCAATCATCTGCACTGTTACAGTGTCAGCTGCTCTCAAGCAGCACATGTGAGATTCATTTAGAATAGAGCCATAATGATTAAAAAATGTCTTTAGCTACGAGTGTCATGCATGTGTGCACGTGTGTATTGAACATTCAAGATAAATCCAGAAGTTTTATTATTTATATTTGATGCCCATATATATCTCTTTCATAAAACCCTGATATTATGGGTGACAAAAAAAGATTAAATGAAATTTTTAAGAAGACGATGAGATCAAACAAAAACTAAAAGGATGGAATTAATCTACACACACACACACATGCACACACACACACACACTCACACACACACACGCATGTCTGTGTGTGTGTGTGTGTGTTTAGTCAGAAATCCTTCTTTAATGCACATTTCATTGAATACGACAGACAAGGTTCTTTGGTTTAGTTTTTTTAATACAATTTCTGATGCGATCTAATATTTTCTTTTCTGCTATACATTTAGCCATTTTCAAGGATTAAATATTTTAACTGTTAAATAAGAAATCGTTTGCTGCCTGTATATATTTATATAAGGTTTTCATTTTTTAAAACACGGTCAAAATATTGTGTTTATGTCCATAGTTGATTTTTTGGATTATTACTTTTAGACTTTTATATGTAGATGATGCTATTATATTTGTGTTGTCAACAAATATATAATGAACTAGCAGAATAGCCCGGTGTTGACAGTGCTTGATTCAAAAATTGTACGAATCATACAGCAATCGCTATCATTTGACTTAAAATATTTTTGCACTTCCTTTCCTTTAAAGAAGTGCCCTTTGTCGTGGTGATGTTGCTACATGCCTTACTTCTTGCCTATATCACACTGAGAATTTTTTCTAAACTCTATACTAAACATTAATTCTGTTACGAAAAAAGAACTAAACAAAATTAACACAAAACGATCAACTTTAAAAAAGGACTCGTAACTGGAAAAACCGAATTTAAAAACAACGTTAATAACAAATAACTTTTCACACCCAAATCAGTTTCCTGAAATATTGAGACTGGTCATACAACACGAGCGGGGTTGTTGTTGCCCTTGTTTTGTTAACCCGGTACTTTGGAAACCAAACATTGATCCGATTTTAAGTTCGAATAAAAAGAGCTCAAAAGTGTTTAACAAAGCGAAGTCAACTTCACAGAGTCTAAAATGAGGTGAAAAACTTAGATGCACTGGGCCGCGTAGTGCAGGCGAGACATTCAACTTAAAAACCCCAAAATCCGTAGCATCTGTGAGTTAATCGGCGTTTTTACAAAGTTTGAGTCAAAAATAAAAAAAAAAGGATCCGGCATGACACAATGACGTAAATTGAAAAATCGGATCTGGGAGGCGGCCTGGGAGAAAGAATAAAGTTTAAAGAAGTGGGAAATGGACTGCTCAGGGTATGGTCAACACGGAGGTTTGTATCGATTTTTGAATAACGACGGGGTCACACGGCATTCTATGCAAGGCATCTCTAACTGGGCCGCGTAGGAATTTCTGGTTGAATTGTAAAGAAAGTCCGAAATTTTAGAATGTAATCCGCCCAAATACAGGAGTACCAGTAAATTTAACAATATTTGAAAGCCTGAGTCCAAATTGAAAATCTGACTCCGTTACGAATTGACGCCGTAAATGTCGGCAGTTGAATCGACATTTGACGTTAATTGCAGCCTGGGCATGAAAAGAAGTCAAAAACTGACAGCTGATGGCAGGATCGAATCGGAGCTCTTTATCGATTTTTTGCTGCACGAAGGGGTCTCGCAAGCATTTTTGAAAAGGCCCGTAATCTGGTCCGGGTCATTCATTTCTGTACATATGGAATGGTGATGTGAGGAGAGACAATTGATGCTTGTAACTATACATTAGTTGGCGTTGAGTTCAATGCAATCACAGAGTGCGACTGGGAATTGGGATCTTCTGAAAGTGAAGGGTAGGTCGGCATCTGATGGATTCAAGTGCATCATTGGGATAAGCACCTGCTCCCTTTTACCGCAGCCAGTTATATTTTTGGCCTCAATAATGTTTGGTTGTTGGGCCTGAATAACTATCCTGGTTCCATTACAGTTTCCGGTGGACGCAGGTTTCTAAGCAACATAACCGGGATCCCCACTTTAAGTTCCAGAATGTGAGGAAGGTTCGCCATTTCAGAGGGATCTGGACTTCTGTCAATGGATTGTAAACACCCGTGGTACAGTTTCCAGAAGTTGTCTATTAAGGTTTGTCACAGTGGTGTTTTTGAGGGCAAGAATTGCCCGCCCAGCAAGCCACTCAGTATTGTTGTAGTTGGTTTGAAGATCAGGAAAAAACTGATTCCCTGAGTGTTGCTGGCGTTGTGAACACTGTAGACAACTCTTGGACGTTTACAATTCCATTAGTGTCCGCGGAATAATACGTTCGCCAAGGGCTAATAATGAATTCGAAAATTCGGCGGACCCAACTTCGCCAATTAGGTGTGCACGCATGTTGGTGGCAAGGTGCAATGGGCTAATAGTGGGCAAAAATTGTGACGATTTCCACCACGCTTGAACAGCATCTACCCTTGTCCTCTTGGGTACAACGAGGAGGGTCTGGCGAAAGTCACCGGATAGAAGGACAGTTATACCTTCCATTAGGTCATCAGAGTTTCGAATATCTTTCAGAGACTGGTTTACAGTCTCGAGTGCAGTTTTGGGACTGACAGTGCACTCATCCCAGACGATGACCTTACATCGCTGGGGTACCTCCGCTAGACATGATTGCTTAGCTATACTGCATACAGCTGTTTCTGCTTTAATCAGGTCAAGCGGAAGTTTAAACGTTGAGTGACATAGGCGTTGAGCTCCTCAACAAAGTAGGATGTCTCCCCCACAATCTCAGGTGAGAGACTGCAGGAAGCCACACGATCTGGCGTTGGAAGCCCAATAGCGGAGAGATTTTTCCCCAAACCTCCACCATTTCAACAAACAGGTTTTCAATGATTACAAGCGCCCTGCTGTAAAATTCATCGTAGAATGTAACAGTCAAAGTTGGACACAACAGTTGCGCTTCTCTGAGTATATCTTCGGACAAAAAGTCCTTGTATTGACACATTTTGCAGAAGTGTCAAAGTGGTACCCATCTTCCCCGTAAGGGAAGAGAAGTGGACATTGCAGTGCATCGTAGTACCGGTGCTTTTTACTGATTCTTCGGAGCCCACTGCCGCCCGATTCGATAACAATGTCACGTCCATTGTGCTGATTACCGCTGACAATGACGGAAACTTCGTTACTTGCGGGAACATTGTAAAGACGTTTCCTGCTCTCTCTGGGGCAGTTTGTCAGCATCAAATCCAATAATGAAACCAGAAGAAGTGTTATTTTCGAGAGCATACTTAAAACTGCGGACATAGCTGTTTATCTCGTGGAGCATTTGTTGGATACTCATTATGATATTCTTGCGAGGATGATTGTCCTGACCTGTATCGTTCTCGGGAATAATGCCCATGCGGGTATCTGCCTGTTGATTGTAGTCAGCTATGAAGTATATTTGTAGAAAGGCCGAGTCAGTGGCAGTTTTCGGCAAAGGCGACCCAATCCGTTGGTAAACCTGAACTTGATCCTTGAAGGTGGGATTCCAACAGACTTCGCGGAAGGCACTACCACCAAAAGAGGTCATGTGGAAGGCACAATTACACTCACTGATTTTTGCAAGGAAGAGTTTACAGACTGGACTGGAACCCTCCAACAGAGCTTTCAACGGATCAGGTAGCTCTTTAAAAGGTGACAACTGTACCTTACCGTCTGAACAACACAACTCTGCAGAATCCCCAGGCCATTTTTTGGTATTGCAATGCCCACAGACAACTGACATGGATCCTATTTGCAGGTCTTTGTGACCGAAAAGCGTGAAAACTGGCTCATAGTTGAACGCCAGCTTAAACCAAAACTGCTTTGGTGGGCGACAAAACCATCGCTGTGCATGGCGGCGCAGGTTAACAGTCTGCAAACGCTCAAGCCTCCCAGTAGATCCTTCTACAGGTCTAGCAGCGGAAATTGAAATTGTATCGCGATGCCGCCTTGTGTGCATTTGCGCAGAACTTTCCGACGCCCTTGCAGCAGAAGTTGTAGAGGTGTCGGCTGCATGGAGTGTGGTTTTCTCAGCCATGGAATCTTGGGACCATCGAATGGACATTTCCGCAGCTTTCTCTGCGTTACGTGCGGTTTTCTCAGCCATGGTCTCTTGGGACCGTCGAATGGAAATTGCAGCGGCGTCGGCTGCATTGCGAGTAGCTTTTTGATGCTGGCTCTGTCGAGACCGCAAAAGCGCTTGTGATGAAGCCTCTTTTTTGTTGTCTTGCAAGCGTTTAGGTAGTTTCCTCTTACTTTTCAACGAATATGTGTAAACTGATTTGCACTACAAACGGTAGCTGCGCTCACCAAGCGTTTCATGTGACAAAACATACTGCCTCTGTTGAGATTGTCTGGAAAGACTCAAAGAGGCATCTACCTCGGTTTCCTCCTCCCGCTTTCTCTTTGCCACAGAGGCTCTTTTAGAACGCCTGCTAAGGTTGCCTCGCCATGGTATTTTGGCACGCTTAACAAACCTGCCGGGCGGGTCATCGCCACGGCACTCAGAAGATTGCAAAGCAGAAGTTGAAGTAGACGCCAGCTGCTTCTCCTCCAAGGAGGCGCACTCAATGGAATCCTGCTCCCGTTTCCCCTTTAGCCAGTGAGGCTTTTTTAGAACGCCTGCTAAGGTTGCCTCGCCAGGGTGTTTTTGCAGCCTTTGCAGATCTGCCGGTTTGTTCATCGCCACGGCACACAGAAGAGTGCAAACAAAGTAGACACTATATGATCATCTGTAACCGGAGTTATTATGTGCTCCTCCGCAGTCGCTTGTTCTGCATGTGTAACGTTAAAGGTTGTTTAATTAGCGTAAATGAAAGAAATTACAAGCAAAATAGGACCAAATATGATGCCCTGGGCTGACCTGCCTTAATAGGAAATGAACTGAACTGGTGGCCGTTCAGGATAGGAATGACTGGATCAATTTAAAAATATATCCGGAGTCACCGCATGTTTTCAGCTTATAGAGAAGTCTTTTATACCAGACACTGAAAATGCTTTCGAGATATCTAATATTACAATCCGGGCTTCCACTATCTATCTATCTAGAGCATGATAGATATTTTTTCTGCCATTATCGGCAGTACATCAGAAGTGAGCCTGGAGAAACGAAAGTCATATAATTTGTCTGAGAACAGAACCAACAATGAAAGATGAAGGACCAATTCAGTATTGATTCGGGCCTCTAGGATTTTCCCAAAAGAAGAATGCAGAGTTCTTAAAAATTGGAACAACAGATGAAGAATTCAAGGAGACAACAAAACAGAAGGAAACGCGGCATTTATTATAGAGTTTACAGTGAACAGCGGCCTGTTTTGGAGTACACATCTTAATGACTATTGTAGGGATACCATCAGGTTCATATGCTCTGTAAGGATCGAGTTTACTAGAAACCATTAAAGGATTACATGCATATCACTCAACAGACCCTCAGTCCTAGTTAGGAAGTTAGGCAAGATGATTCAAGTGTAGAGTTTGAGATGAATTTATGTGCAATGCATTCATTTTTAACAGCAGAGCTTATTAAGACCTCAAATTGATTGTATAGTGGAGGAATAGAGTATTTACAATTATCTGATACCCTATTGCCGAGATACCTGTAATCATGAGTACCAAGGTTGTTAGTGGCTATGCAGTGACTCATTCTCTAAAAAAAGGCACTGAGATTCTTTAAATATTTAAATGCAAAGTCAATCATCATCTTCTATTTACTTCAGTCTCTTTCGTCTGTTATTTCCACACTCCTTACTTTACTCATTCTTTTCACTCTCTGTAATCCCCTTCTTATTAGTGGTATTCACGTCTTGCTTGGTAAAATGATTAATAAAAATGTCTCAATTTATTATGAGCAGCAACGAATATTATATTTACTCTAGCTGTAATTGTATATAATCAAGTTTTATGGTGTATTAATTTATATTTCATCCTTATATCTACTAACAGACATCACTTTTGATCAGGTGGCAGGAAATTCTATTACATTTTTAAAAATCTTCTTCACTATTTCCAGCGCTTCCAAACTGAATGATCTTATTTATTAATTAGTATTTTGTGTACAGCTCTATAACCAGAGAGATTGGAGATTTATTCAGTAATGTTTATCATTCACCTTTTTTTTTTTGCCTACTCTCTGTATAAATCTTAGTCTTAAAGAATAACGGATTGTTTTTCTGTCCTTCAAGATCGCAATGTGCATAATTATCATTGACGATTTTTGGAAGGTAAAATTTGAAAATTAACTGTTGAATATTTTCATTTCAAAAAACTACAAATAGAAAATGTGAACAAGTTCAAGGTTGTCCAAATAAAAATGAATAAAAAATTTAATCACAGCATTCGTGACAGCTAGAAAATATATGTCGATCATATGAGGGGTTAATATAAATAGAAATCTGAATAATTCTTTTGAATTGAATATTCATTATAAAAGAAATATTTAAAGTAAAACACGGTAAACTAATTCGGAATGAATTCTTGTTTTTTAATCTCAAAGAAAAAAATGACTGTAAAAATGTGTCTGAAACATAATATTTTATCATTATAGATCGACTCTCTAAAACCACATCGATTACATGTTGACTGGACAAAAGTAATTTATATTTTGTGATAAATTGCTTAGGAATAATAAGTTATACGAATTGATTTTTTTTTCTCAAAATCATGATTCTAAAGTATATATATTTGAAATATTAGATAAATACATATGAACCATGCTACAGTGCCTTAAGAAATTAATTTGATTTTGTTGAAGAAGTTGTTTGCTATTTTAAAAGAACCCATAAGCGACATTTGACTATGCACCAGCAACAGGAAGCTCGCTCTAAGATTAATTGCATGGAGAATCTTGTGAGGAATACTAACAGTTGTGTTTGGAGCAATCATACTACACACGAAGGCAATGTTCGTCATGAGAAAATCGAGAAAAGTTAGATAATTGTGTCGTTGCAGTATTTGCACAACATGGGATTGAAAACAGCCTAAGAATCCCTCACTAAATATAGTTCCTTATTTCTAATCACGGCTGTTCGCATATTATGTCCAATGAATGAAATAGTATTGCTACAACCTCGCAGATGTTTTATATTTAGAATTGCACATGGTGTAAGACAGTTGTCTGCGTCGGTGTGATAGAGATTAACATGGAAGCTTCCAAAAAGGCGATCCGGATTTGACACACGGTCGACACACGTTCTTTTCCAATTTTAACCCTTTAAATCGAGTTTGCCCCGGACCTTGTACATGTTGATCTTCATTGTAAAAAAACAAAAGATGCCAACCTAGGTTAGTGAAACATTGTTATATATTACTTCATCCAGAATCGAATATTTTGAGTCTAAAACTTCCATAGAGACTATCAAAGTACTTATCTGGAAAATAAATTACCTAATAATATATACGCCAAGATAAAACTACAATTTTGTTTGATTAAAATATTAATTCTTCGGTTAAATCCTTAAGATCTAGTTATTTCATGATAATCACGCTCCATGCTGACCTAAGTGAAAATACGACATAACAGGTCACTATTTCTGAAGTTTCATACATCGGCCTGGAGAAAAGTTGAACGTTTAAAATTATTATTCTAATCATGAATTCGACTTTTATCTTTGCGATGGATTCTCAAGAAATAATACTATTATCCCTCTTTTATACTCGCATAATATGAAATGTATCATAAGAGTTCTGGAAAAAGCATATATATTTGGAACTGTCTTTTCTAGATATCATTAATCTTAAACAATAAAATTTGTTAGAATAGTGATGGTATTGCAGGCACATTTAAAGATATATTCAGCATCCAACTGAGAAACTTCGAGTAAATGTAATTAACATAATTTAGCATCATCAGAATTATTGCTTTTGTTCGAGCGGTCTTGGTATGCTGTAGATGAAGGGTGAATAATTATCATAAAAAAAACAAAAAAAACTTAACAATTTTATCATTTCTATTCCAGCAGCAATAAAATTTCAGTCTTTCTAATAAAATTACTCATGGATATATATGTACATACAGAATGTGGAATACGTGACGACATTAAAGCTTGAGGTGGATAAAAGGCCCTAAAATGTGATTATACCCTCATGAAACAATCCCGTTTTAATAATAGCCGGAACATTATACTGTGAAGTGAAAAAAATGCATTGTTTAGCTGGCAGTACACAGGAATAGCCCGAAAGATAATCTAGATGTTGTGTTCATCCTAAATAAAGAGATCAGAAGATATTGCCAATGGCAAAAAAATAGAAATTATTTCAAAATATTCTAATAATCATAGCAACTTGGTCATTAATATAGTCTAATTGGAATAACGCCGAAACAACATTATCTGATCTGTCAATGTCAAAAGACATATCACAAGCAAATACGACAGTAGTCTTTTTTTTAGTTTTGTTGATGATAAAGAAATTGTTTTTTTTTTTTTTTAGGGAAAACATCATTTTTGAAAATTGGACAATAATTATTTATCTAATTAAATTTGGAGCGTTGTCCTCATCATTGTTGTTGCTATCCCACTATATCGTTTGTTGTACTCTACAGCTTTCATCAGGTAAATATATCGACTCGGGTTAAACAACAAGAAATTCTGAACTCGGCCTTTCATTTAATCTATACAGATAAACTGATCTCATTTCATTACTCATGTCTACGGATACGTCGTATTTTTTTTATTTTTAGTACTGCTCGGTTAGTGCTTGCCCGTTTCCATAGAATCCAAGTAAACAATGCAAGACCTAGTGATTGAACTCACGATTACTATGTCACAACATCTACGAGTCAAGACTTTTATTGCAAGAAGAGTGTCCCAGGAGACGTTGTAATAACAACAACAAAGATGAAACAATAGTCGGAATGTAAATCATGCAATAATAGGAATATCTTCCATGAATTCAGAAAGAAATTTACTTGCCAACTATGTTGGACTCTATGGCAATGCTTCTAAAACTGAATCCATAGGCTTCAACAAGAAAAACTATAAAGAAAATGTTTCAGTTCAGTTGCATATATTTAGTCGAATCATTTGCATACCTAGAAGTCATGAAAAAGTCTACTGAAAAGCGTGTGAAAATTCGCCTGGATTAAAGTGGATATTTTCTGGAAATATCATCTACCAGGCAACCTCAGGCTGAGATTCGTTTCTAATATATCTTGTCACTACCTGAACTTTAACTAAAACCATAGATTCTAAACTTCATGCAACCTACACTCCGATATTGCGAGCTATACTTAACATATCTAGGAGACAACTTCCCAAAAAAATCACAGCTCTATGGACACATCGCTGACATTTTACCGTATTACTTGAACACAGAATGTGTTTGCAGGACAGTGCTAGTGAGCAAAAAAAAAAAAAATAACTACCATGTGCTTGGACACTTAGTCATGGAGCAAACGGATTGGTGCCCATCAAACACATACATTGACCAGGTATGTTTTGACAGAAATTGCAACACTAATGACCTTCCGACCTTGACACAAGATCATGATGTTTGGCGCGATAGGCTCATGAACGCCCGCACTAGCTCTAACGATTAATAATAAGTTTATTTTTTCATCATGAAAACTTGAAATACATTTAAATCTGAAATATATACATAATTATTACTTTAAAATTATTTTTAGTGGATATTCATATATAAGTAGACGCCCTTTTTATTTATTTTACAATTTATTTATTTATTTAT